TTACAGCACTGGAGCAGACGATGATGCGTTTGCCAGTCTCAAATTGTACGTGTCCAAGTTGAATCCCTCCTGCCCAGCGTTCTTTCAAAAACCAAAAGCCAGATTCACCACAGAAGACATCGTGTGGTATGAAAACAGCCCACTTGGCGTGAACAAGCTGGGAGACATGATGAAGATCATATCCAAAGGAGCAAATCTCTCTCAAGTGTACACCAATCATTCCGTCCGGGCTTCAGCAATAACCGTGCTTTCAGATGCGAATGTACCCGACCGCCATATAATGTTTGTCTCTGGACATAGCAGCGAGCAAAGCATCTCACACTACAGCACCAGGCCATAAGCACCTCAGCTGGAAAGTGTATCCGACACAATCTCCAATGCTCTTCAGTACAACCAAACTCAAAGCACACAAATTTCTACCGTTTCCAGCACTCCATCAGCTACACCATTAATTGAAAGCTTGAATCGCATGGCTTCCAGTGTGTCAATGTCGTCCGCATCAGCAAGCTTCCCAAGCGGTTTTTTCAACAACTGCAATCTTCAAGGCGGTGTGCAAGTGTTCTTCGGGCTTCAGAGCCGCTCTGATGAGCAAAACTGACTAGATTTTAGCAGTATTTTGTAACACATTTCAAGATTTCTGAATCGAATTTGAGCTTTCACGGTGATGTTTTGTTCCACAAAAGGCGAAGTTCTCGATTAAGTTTTGACGGTGGCGTGATTTCCTTAGCCAATCACAATTCGTTGCTGCACCCAGCAACCAATCAGTTTGCTCCATTTTTGTATAGATAACAAATGACGTCAAATCACTTTTTTCGCTGTCAGAAAAACCCATCACGGCCCTGTTTTGTATCTTCTTTCAAAATAAAAACGTTTTTATTAATTTTTGTTTCTTTATTATATAAAACAAATAGATTCCATTTGGCTGTGCGTCTGTTTAGTTATAGATCACAGAAGACGTCAAAATGTGCTAAGAACATCAGTACCCACTCGCCTATCGGCTCGTGGGCCACTTTTCTGTTCTTACCACATTTTGACGTCATCTGTGATCTATAACTGAACAGACGCACGGCCAAATGGAATCTATTTGTTAAATATAACATTTTATGTTAGTTATATAACATGTTATGTTTATGTTAATGTTTATGTTATGTTATATAACATGTTATGTTTATGTCATGTTATATAAACATGTTATGTTGTTATATAACATGTTATGTTATGTTAATGTTATATAACATGTAATGTTATATAACATTTATGTTTCATAACATGTTATGTTATATAACATATTTAATTGTTATGTTTATGTTATGTTATATAACATGTTATGTTTATGTTATCTTACATAACATGTTATGTTTATGTTATGTTTTATCACATGTTATGTTTATGTTATGTTTTATAACATGTTGTGTTATGTTATGTTATATAACATGTTATGTTTATGTTATGGTATATAAAATGTTATGTTTATGTTACGTTAACATGTTATGTTTATGTTATGTTTTTTAACATGCTATGTTTATGTTATGTTTTATAACATGTTATATTATGGTATAACATGCTATGTTTATGTTATGTTATATAACATGTTATGTTTATGTTATGTTATGTAACAATAACATGTTATGTTATGTTAATGTTATATAACATGTTAGGTTATGTTATGTTATATAACATTTGTTTCATAACATGTTATGTTGTTAATGTTATATAACATGTTATGTTTATGTTATGTTATATAACATTTGTTTCATAACATGTGTTGTTAATGTTATGTTTATGTTATGTTATATAACATTTGTGTCATACCATGTTGTGTTGTTAATGTTATGTTTATGTTATGTTATATAACATTTGTTTCATAACATGTTATGTTATATAACATATTATGTTATGTTATATAAACATGTTATGTTATTTAACATTTATGTTTCATAACATGTTATGTTTATGTTATGTTATATAACATCTTATTTTATTAACATGTTATGTTATGTTATTAACATGTTAACATGTTATGTTATATAAACATGTTATGTTGTTATATATATAACAAGTTGTGTTATGTTATAGAACCTGTTATGTTTATGTTATGTTATATAACATTTTATGTTATATAACGTGTTATGTTTTTGTTATGTGGTATAAACATGTTATGTTGTTATATATATAACATGTTATGGTATGTTAATGTTATATAACATGTTACATGTTACTTGTTATATAACGTTAATGTTCAAGTAATATCTATGCTTGGACCTGGTGCACAGCATGTATTTGAACCCTCATCAAGCTCTCTGTTAGCCACTGTTTACCTCGGACATTTCGCTCAGGGTGAGCATTACGAGAGTCTTATGCCATGGGTTTGTGATACTCAAAATAAGGGGCCTGAATGCGAAGGCGGAAGTAGCTACGACAGAGATGGTGATGACAGAAGTGGGTACTGCAGAAATGGCGGAAGTAGTGAGTACAAACGTGGAGATAGCGAAAATAGAAGGGATACAGGTGATGACAGCCAAAGTGACAAGGACATAGCTGACGGAACAAGTAGAAGGAACACAAGTGGTGTTGGAGGAATTGGGGGAAACACAGAAGGATATAGCGGAATTGGAGGAAACACAAGTGATGTTGGTGCAAGTGGCGAGTGCAGAGGGGAGACAGGTCGTGTTGTCGGCATCGGCGGAGACAAGGAAGGTGATGGTGGAAGTAGAAGGGACACAGGTGGTGTTGGCAATAATGGGTGCGACACAAGTAGTGATGGCAAAGGTAAAGAGGATGAAGGTTATGTTCTCAGAAATGGCGTGGGAGTAACGCCATAACCCACTTTAAGGATAGTCAAAAAATGCACATAGCTACGGCAAAGGTAATTAAACTAAAGCTACATGTAAGCGTACCAGGGTGGCCAGAAAAAACCTTCCCCAAAAAACCCCATAGGGAAAAAGAACAGGAAATCTGGGACAGGCGAGGCACATCTTACATCCCCCGCCAGGACTCTATATATTAAATAAATTACTCAAGTCAGCAAAAGTGAAAATCTAATTCTGATTAAACAATATAATCACCAACGAATACTGGGAAAAATATAATGATATAAGGATAAAAATATATACGAATATCATAAACTAGACTATTGTAACTCTTTATTGTAGGCCTCCCTAAGCATCTGATAGGTAGTTTGCAGTCTGTGCAAAACACGGCTGCTCGTATCGTTACTTTAACCAAGAAATTTGATCATATCACCCCTGTATTGATTCAACTGCATTGGTTACCTGTTCACTTTCGGATTCTTTTTAAAGTTTTATTGTTAGTTTATAAGGCGCTAAATGGTATGGCACCATTATATATCACGGAATTACTTAGTTATCGTACATGTTCACGTACGCTACGCTCTACTGATCAAAAACATCTGGCAGTTCCGAAGTCAAGACTTAAAACATACGGAGACAGGGCCTTTTCCGTTGCTGCACCTAAACTCTGGAATGAGCTGCCATTAGATCTTAGAAGTTTAGCTACAATTAATTTATTCAAGAAACACTTAAAGACTGATCTTTTTAAAAAAGCATATAATGTTTAACTTTTTGATAATTTAGAATAGGATTTATTGTGATATTTTTATAAATAAGACTGCTAATAGGTTTTTAATTTATTCATATTTTATTACCAGTGGGATCTTTTTAATTATTTTAATATTATGAATTGTAAAGCGCTTCGGTCAATTAGTGGAGTTAGCGCTATAAAAATTATGTTATTATTATTAGTACAACTAAATTGAAAGTTCCTTAGATGCGGCTAAACGTTTGCTAAGACCATGCTTAATATATCTGTGCTTAGTGGATTCACACTTCCAACCAGCATGAATATCTAACAAGTCACCAGCTATTTTCCTACAAGCCGGATTTGAAGCCGCGCCAGACTTCATACTATGTGTGCCGTACTTAGAAATATCACTAACAAATGGCCTGATATGCTTCTTAAATTCCTCCCTTTTAGTGGAAACAGAAACACCCAAACTACAATGAAAATACTCCTTAGACTTATCTTGACAATTCTGCAAACTAATGGGAAAGCAGAGGAAGACTGTGGCAAAAGCTTAATCAACCGCTCAGTCACAGCTACAGGACAAGTAACCTTGTCGGTTCTAGCGAGAAAAGCAGTGTGGCCTTCCCTATACTGGTCGTTTTTGCGCTGAGGCACATAAACTGACATATGATCACTATGTATTGAGACATCACAAAGTGCTATATTCCTAATCTCGTCAATGTGAAAAAAGCCTGCAAAACCAACTAAAAGAATAAATAAAAAACGAAGATCGGAAAGTGAAGCGCTTGAGGCAAAATGCGTAGCAATCGCCTGTACGGTGCTAACCGACAGCGGCTCCTTAGGCTGAACAGGTCGGGCAAGCCTTCTTTTGGCGCCTTCTAACGCAAACTTAACTAAGGGATGGCTAACAGGACAAGCCTCAAAACCGGCCATTGTGTGGCCCCACTTAATAGCATAAATGGCAGATTCTATAGAAGATACACCGATGTCATTCTCGGAAGAACGCTTAGCTAGCTCGGAGATAAACAATGCGATATGCAAAGGTTTTGCTGGAATAACCGGAAGGCCAACCTTCGACAGAGCCCGCTCGCGCCACCGCAACCAGCCAGACTTGTACTTCAGCACCGTGGACGGAGCCTTAGCATCTAATTGCAGATTAATAAGGACTGGAACCATGTCACTCAAAGAAGAATCGGACAATGAGGCTGCTTCAAGCCAAATCCCGGAACTCAGAACATTTGAAAGAAAAGAAAATATCGTGAAAATCAAATAATTACTGCGCTAATGACCAATTCCAGCAAAAAAATACCGATGTAGGCACAAAACACACGCAACAAAACCACATTGACTCAAAGCACGCCAAATAAGGCTCAAACTATGCCAATTCAGGTTCAAGATATGCCAAATCAGGCTCAAAATATGCCAAATCAGGCTCAAACTATGCGAATTCAGGCTCAAAATATGCCAAATCAGGCTCAAAATATGCCAAATCTGGCTGAAAACACTATCCGTGATCGTACGAAAAACTCGCCCAAAATCCACACGCAAAGCCAACATTCTGAATTTTGGGCAACCGTGAAAAACGGACAGGTGAGACTTGTAGATCTGCCTCTGACCTGGGCCCTCCAAAATAAGATCCTTTATGGCGGGAAGCACATAAGACTGACTTCGGGCAGTTATTAAATCCCCTAAATGGCATCATGCATGGGTGAGGTTAGTTCCTCTAGAATTTGGATGGTTTGCAATATCTGGCATTTTTTGGAAGAATATTGCAAACACACGTAAATAGAAAAGCATGTCAACCAAAGAAGAACATATCTACCTCGTTTAACGCCAAATAAGGAACCTTGTTTTTTGGATTTGCCAAAGACTGATTAGCTATATTGTTTCGCTCTAGGATGATAAAACTGTGTTCTTCTCAGAGAAAATTCGTGCTTGGTGTATTAATTAATGGGACTGATGTTCGGTTCCCATACTTTTTTGTATGCACAACGACAGTTTCCCTGCCATGTATAGCAGGAAAGCAATTCGAAGTCCTAATTTGATAACCGCAAGCCGTTCTTTTTCAAGGTTGTAAGTTAATCTTCAAATTTAATGAGATTAAACCATTGTTTTGAACTTATAGGTTGTCTCAAGTCCTTATTTTACTATACTGCAACAATAAAATTTCCGCCAGGACTGTGTGACGAACAGGTAACACTACAGTCGCGTGTTGAACTGCTCAATGCCGTCATAAACCAATTAGCAAGTTTACATGTAATTCATATGAGGGTAACCTATCGTGCTTAACCAATTCTGGCCTCCTTCACTGCCGTCCGTCTGATGCCATCAAGAAGAGCTGAGGCATTTTCTGGCCTCTATCTCGCTTAAAATGAAAGGTTCCAAACTATTCGAAACTTTGCATACCTGTCGAGTATTACACTGGTCGTGCTGTCCCCAAAGCTTAATAACAGCTTGCGAAGCTCGGACAAAAGACTTTCTCCGTCCACTCAAGTTTTGCCTTTCGCTTTCCCCCTGCCTACTTCTTTTGGTTCTCTTCAACTTCCCGCCGTTCTTTACGTTTTTCTTAGGCCCTTTTGACTGAAATGCCCTTTTTTTTAGATATGATTTGAAAGTCATCTTTGGCCTGCACAATTCAGTCTTCAAGTTATATTATATTACCTTTAATTTATTTCTCTGAGTGAGTTACTCTTTTTAAATTGTTACGTTAGCACTTATTACATCTGTGACCAAATGTTATTACACTTGTGACCTTTATTACATTTGTGACCAGTTATTACATTTGTGCCTTCAACAGGCGACAATTGAGGCAATGAGAGTGTTCCGTGACTTTTGCGATTTCAAGTCACTTGTGCGAGCTTGAGGTGGAAATTTGTCAATTCGTGTTTGGACTTTGTCCTCTTGGAGTTCATCCTTGAGGAGACCGCTCAGGAGCTTTACAAGCCCTTCATCCACATCATTTCCCGTTTTTTCCTCTATGTCGAGGTCCTGTACTATTTCGGCGAGCAGTTTGCTGCCGGAGGCTGTTGCTACTGGGGTTTGCTGGTTTCACCAGCGTTCGGTTCTTTCCTGCCAACGGGTATTGCGGCCTCCAGCTCGCTGCTCTCCGCTGCGTTATCTTCATACTTCCGATCATCCATGGGTTCCAGTAGGGAAGCGACAGTTTGTTTTAATTCTTTCATCTCATTCATCACTGATTTGAACATCACAGGGAAGCCTCTGAACGGCTTGGCGAACCCTCGCCCGGGTCGCTCGCATCTTTCTCTGCCATGTTATTTTGTGGCCTCCAACTACGTTGGAGCGCTGGTACTGGTTCTGCTAAAGTACCAACTTTGTTGGTGTGATATGCTGTTTTCTACGGCCCAATAGTTTTCCCAACAGCGTTGACAAAAAGGGCCAATCTTGTGAAAAAACTCAGGAGCTCATCGAGAAGACGTCGGTCGCGTTGCAAGCACTTGTGCAAACTGAGTCGCGCTTGGGATCTGCTAGCCTCCGGTCATGTGATATAATTTACGCAACATTTTGAATCTTGTTTACTTTGACATCGGATGCTGGCATAATTTTGTGTCAACTTGTGATGTTTTTAACTGTCTTTTTCCACTGGATGTAAAAAAATGAAATACAGCTCCTATCAAGAGTCTTCTGTTATTCATGGCTAGTTTGTTTATTGGTTTTTTGGTTGAGAGATGCGTCGCTTGTCAAAGTCCGAAATCCGATATTGGATGGCATCGTTTTCGTTTTTCACCTTGCTTGAAAAGTCTGAAGCGACACTGGCCTTACTTGATAACCTTTCAGGAGCTGCATCTCGATTGGTACGCCTGAGTAATTATTGTATTTGATGTTTGTTTTTTATGTATAATTTAATGAAGTCGAGCGTAGTTTATGCGGCTATTTCGTTTATGATTGCAATTTTGTGGGTGTACATATGAGGCTGTAAACTTGATGTAAGATTTGGTTCACTCTTTTTTTTTTCTAGCAATATTATTCAATGGTCATGAGAAGTATAACACGGCGTATAATACATAAAGCTGCACTAGAAAATTATACAAAAACTAACAATATAGCAAAGTTGTTAGCAGAACTCTAACAGGCAATAGAGGTCATGGAAAGAACAAATGTAACTAGTATTTTTGCTCATATTTTACCCCTGTTACCCCTTGTTACCTCTTGTTCCCCCTTGTTACCCTTTCTTACCCCTGTTACCCCTTGTTCCCCCTTGTTACCCTTGTTACACTTGTTACCACTTCTTACCCTTGGTACCCCTTGTTACCCATTGTTACCCCTTGTTCCCCCTTGTTACCCCTTGTTCCCCCTTGTTACCCCTTCTTACCCCTTCTTACTTTTTTTTACCCTTGTTACCCTTTGTTACCCCTTGTTACCCTTGTTACCCCTTGTTACCCTTGTTACCCCTTGTTACCCATGTTACCTCTTGTTACCCTTGTTACCCTTTGTTACCC